TTGAACAAATTCTTTGGCTTGAGATTTTTGAGAAGAAATAAGGCTAAGGACAATTTTAGAAATAGACTGACCAGGTTTTGTATAAGGAAGGTATGTATTTACAAGAAGTAGATCTGTGAGTGGAACTTTATCAGATTCCAAAAGATAGGATATTTCATAGAGATATTCCATCTTAGAAGCATCCGATTTTCTAAGAGAAGTAGATGAAGAAGAGGATCCCGAACAAGATTTAGGTAAAGAGAAAGGATTAGAGCTTTCTGGAGAAGACATGATTAAGAGATATTCTTCCTTCATTTCTTCCAGTACTTAGTAATCATACATTATCATGATATGAGTAAGATAACAACATGGCTCAAATACCAAACAGGCGGAGTGACAACAGCCTACATCAAATCACGTATTCTAGCCCACACAGCGCAATAGGCTTCGATGCAATTAATGCTCAAGGAACACGAGGCTGCTGGCAAGTAGTCCCCAACTTGTGGCAGAAGCGGTATCAAAATCCTAGGGGCCAAATGAAGCCATCACAGGTTTAAATGAAATTCAAAGGTCAAATTGTACACGATTGAATAGATGCCTATTGTATCAACTTTTGGTCGGATTCATGATTTATGAAGAGATGGTACTGGTAGTGGTACCACACAATTTTTTTCTGTTTCTTTCTATACCCAGAAATTGAAAAAAAAAAAAAGAAGAAATTAATAATAATTCAATAATTAGGACAGATATTAGTCACTAATTTTGTTGTATGTGATGGTATTACTAATGTTGGACGTGTACATTGTTATATATTAATCAACTTAATATATGCTTGCTAAATCCAGAAGAAGTATTAATTAGTTCCATCTTGGCAACTGAATACTATGCAAAAATTGACATGAGATGATGGTCAAATTAGAGAATTAAATGACGCTTCCGAAGAAAAAAGAAAAGAAAAAAAGTCGGCATAAAATAAAGAACGAACATTTCTATTATTAACAATATTGATTTTACGCCTATGTCTAGACACAAGGCGGTCCACATGATAACCAACTAAGCAAGAAACTTCGCGAGGTCAGCATTCTGCTTTGTATTACCTCTTCTAAGATGATTGGTCATGTCTTTAAATGCCTCGTTTGGATTATTATTATCATTATACGAGGCGATGTATCACCTCTCCGATGTTGCATATATCAGAGACATTTCTACAAGCTTCGCCTCGACCCTTGTGACAATTCTGCAGCAGATGCTCCTAGTCATATCACAAATTGAAATTAGATGATCAACTTAAAGGACAAAATGATGTTTCTTAAAAAGTATAAGAAAACGAGTCAGCATAGAATGAAGAACACACATTTCTTAATGTTCGTCAACTATTATACAATATTGATAAAACAAAAATAATCGTACTTTACAATGAACAAAAAACAAAAACCCCTCGATGAGTAGACTCCTAAATTTTATCTTTTGAGATTCAATGTCTATACCAAATTTAAAAATTCTATTTCTTTTACAAAAGAGAGAGACACGAAAGTGTCCATATATTTTTTTTTTTTTAAAAAAGGACTCTGATATATGTTGTTTTTCTTGTTGATGATAACATTTTCAATTAGCCTCATCAATTGGAACAATCAAAAAAAATACTCCAGTTCATGATCCAAACTTAAAGCTTGCTGTATATTATAATTTTTAAAGTCCTGAATTATTCGACTTAATCCAAATAGATATTGTTAATATAATTCTTTGTGGGACCAACCCCACGTGACCACATTGCTCTTGCATTAGAAGTCAGCCCACCACCAGGCCCCTATCCATCTCACTTTCAATAACTGGCAAATTCAAACCTAATTAAATAAAGGTTAAATTGCACTATTTGTTCTCAAAGTATTGTTCAAATAACCAGTTGGTCCTCAACTATTTAGTGTAAGTGTATTATAAGATCATGTTCACATGGAGCTTATGACCTAACTTACAAGCCACCCGCCATTTTGCGTAAGCTCCATCCAAATATACTCTAAAATATGTCAAAATCGTCATTAAACTATCACATGTTCGAGTTTTATGCAATTAGGTTTTGTTTTTCTCAATTTAGAATCATGTTTGGAAATTTGAATTGAGGCATGTGTGCCATATTTGACCTTCCAATATGCTTAGATCGAGTTGTCACTAGCTATCTTATCACTTTTCATCCACATGCGTTACCTGCACTCCAAAATATTGTTAGAATGAGTGAGTCGTTATTTCAGAAAACGGTTGACAATCAATTAAATTGCTAGAAATTATGAATATGATTGAGCGTGCAAAAAATAGGGTTGTGAAATTGGGTAACTCATAATGAGATAATGTCATACAGAGAATTTTAATGAGGCATGTTGGTCAATATGGACCGCTGAAAAATATGTTGTCCCGGTCGACCAAATATTTTGAACCACACTCAAGTCCGAAAGATTGATATGATCTTCTTCAGTCCAATTTGACTGAATACAATAATACTTGAGCAGTTAATGTGGAGCATATCCTGTCACGTGTACGCCATGTACCATATTGGTATAACATCAATTTAATAGAGTTTTGAATAGTTAATTTGATTGGAAACTTATCATGTGACCATATTGATTAGCTTATAACTAACTCGCTCATTTCAAAGATTTGAGTCCAATTCAACACGCATGCAATGGGTGAAGGACCAATAGTGAAGTTTTTCCTAATTAATACAAATGATTTACTATATATAAAGAATACAACTGCACCAATCTTGAAAACCTTCATTGATCCTCCCTCTCTCTCTCTCTACAAGAACCGTGTACTTCATCAAATACTCAAAATCCCAACTTTTTCTAACTCAAAAACATGAATGTTTTCAACTCCCAAAACCAAAAACAGCACCATTCATCATCATCATCCAAACACAAGAAAAAGAGGCTAAACGAAGGCCAAGTGAGGCTTCTCGAAGCAAGTTTCGACGCCAACAAGAAGCTCGATCCCGAGCACAAATTCCATCTCGCTCGCGAACTCGGTGTTCCTCCTAGACAAATCGCCATCTGGTACCAGAACAAGAGAGCTCGATGGAAGAATCAAAGTCTTGAAGTAGATTACAGCTCGCTTCAAATGAGGCTAGAAACTGCATTATCAGATAAAAAACAGCTCGAAAAGGAAATTGATAATCTTAGAGGGAAGCTTAAAAGAACACAGGATATGTTGCTTGCATCTCAAGGATGCCCTCCTCCGGTTTCTTCTTTCTCAAGTTATTGTGATGAAGGAAGCTCTAATTTTATTGATGATGGAAGACGTTCTTGGGAAATTGTTGATCAGACTTTGCAGTTTCAAGAACTGTATGCTTGTTTGATGATGGGTGAGAAGGAACAAACTGTACGTGGTCCAACTGAATCGAATCAAAAAGATTTTTGGGTATAAGATAAAAGGGAAAAAAAAAACTGTTTTATTTTATTTTGTCATGGCAATGGCATATCAGATTTAGAGGGTGTTTATTTTATTTTAGTTGAAAAATTGTGGGACCCATGAAAGATGTTGTTAATATTGATTGTTTGACTTTGATTTGAATTAAAATCAAATTTTAATCCAAACCAAACATGGGCTTAATAAAGTTTATGTTATATACATATCCTACTTTGTTCATATAGCATTCTTTGCCTTTTCCTTCTCCAAGTATTTGAGGAAGTCACACTTTCTGTGATTTTGAGTACAATTAATTTCACAAGGCTAATCTTTTTTGATTGACAACGTAGAGCTTATTCTCAGGGAGCATTTGAGCCACATTATTTTGGAAGAATGTATTTAGGAATAGTAGATTGGTGGAGAATGCGTGGTTGAAAAAGAAGGGAAAGTTATTGATGTGATGAAAAATATTATTTTATTGAAAAATGTGTGATTGAAAATAAGTAGAAGAATGAGAATGAAAATTTTAATTTGGCTCAAATAGGGGCTTAATGTACAATTATTGGCCGGTCGTGAATTGGATAGTCCTAATATATTTTACGACACATGTGAGTTTTTGTGGCACCATAGAAAAGAATCAAAAGATTTGAACTTGCAAGAGAGCTAAAACCAAATCGTTTTGAGCGTGTGAGAGATGTGATTCCTTGTAATTTTCTTGAGTATAAGGCCACTAAATTCAGAAATTTAGTAGAACCTTTTTGCTATTTATTATCAACTAGTATCTAAATATTCATCAAATTAATTAATTTGGTTTAGCAAACTATAATCCTATTCTGATAAAATCATGCTTGGTGTACAATGATGTATGACAATTTTATTTATAGAATGTCACGTGTTGTTTATATCATTGGACAATTTTAATAAAAAGTTATTTTTGCAGCAATTTTTTGACAACACATCAATTATCAACAGAGTTGCCATTCATGGTTGTACAAATAGAATTTTGATTCTGATATGATAAGAAAAAGAAAAATTCAAATACCATTTTCTAATTGTAGCCAACTTGCAAGTCTTATCTCGTGTAGGAAGAATCAAGAAGTAATGTCGGGATGGGAAAGTGACAAGTTTTCAACTTTTTCAAGGTCAAATGCTTTTAAGCGTGAGAATTTATTTATCAATACTTACCAATTAAAATTAACAATTTGCTTAAAAATAAGTATAATTAAATTGAGGAATCAAAGCATGCATTGCATAAAGTACCTATATTTTCCTATTTAGGAAAGAAGGAAAATTATATTTGTGCACCTATAGATTCTACTCTCAAGAATTTACTTGTTTGTCTTTTATTTTGAGATATATGGTAATTATTGTAAATAAATATTAAGTTTCCTTGTTATTTTTATATTAGTTGTTACTTGAGTTGTTTCATTTTACAAGTACTTCACAATTATTGTTAAGATTTCGGGTTTCAACGTAGAAGTTCGGTTTATTAGGAAAAGTAGCACGAACAATTAATTGAAAAACATTTCTATGTAGAGCAATGCGTGTGTCTTTTGTTCGTAATTAAGTTTTCCAACAATTTCTTTTGAACGAACTATCAGATCATCTTGACCTCCTTCAAACTAATCTCTAGCCGTATATCTTCTTTAAATTAAAAAGGATCAAGCCTCACAAAATGTGGGTGAAACAATTACAAAAAAAAAAAAGACATAAGAGGGGGTTCATACCTCTCTCTATGTACATTTTATCAATTTCTTGCCTTGTGACATTCTTTTTCCGATTATTTTTTCTGATATTATATTTGGCATGCCAATTTGGAAAATTCTGGCGCCGCCAGTCAAGTCTCAATTTATGGGACCTAATGCAAGTAACATTAAAAGCAACTCTCCCATTCAGTGGGTCAAGACTTTGGAAGTTTTGGTGTCTCTACGTATTTATTGACTCAGCATCTTAATGACATATAGATACAATATAGATACAATATATACATGTATAAGACATTAAGACACCTTTTTTTTTGTTTTTTTTTTT